CTTGGACAACCTTGGGATACTAAATACCTCCCTTTAAAGTAACCACTTGAACTCAGTGAATTAACAATGACTGAGCTGTGAAGCTTTGCTCTTCTCTCATAATTCCCTGACAATTTTGGAATTTTATGAGTGCTGGGAAGTGTGGGTCAAAATCATCTGGAAAGGAAGAGATTCACATGGTCTCCTTCACCTTTTGAACTCTAATAATTCAAAAGTAAATTTAATATAGAGAATGTGGGAACAGACTTATAATAAAAAGGCTGTGCACTTTTATTTATTGGACTTAGGGATCATAATACAACTGCCACTCATCTAAGGTAACCATCTAGGGGAGAATTTGACCATTTGATTTGGACATAAATTATGAACTACATTCCTTGAGGGCAAAACAAACAAAGAAAAATAATTGTGCCATTTGTGAAAGTGGTGCCAAGAATGTCACATCATCGTTCTCATATTTCACACATGGGTCACACTGATAAAGGATAAACTGTTATGTGACCTCTTGGGTAATAACCACTATACCATAAGTAAAAGAGTGGCACAGGCATTAAAATGTGACAAAGATATAAAATATTTCAAGCAGTAGCGCATAGCAGATTTAGAGTTAAACTGAGTTCAAGTACCATACTTCATATTTTGAAGCACCTAGAATAATTGAATTGGAACAAAGAAGCCAGATAAAAATGCTAAAACAAATATCTAGCCATTTTAATAGATTCTTTCATAAATTAGAAAAAATTCTTAGTTCACATTTTTTTTAATGCTAACTAACATGCAGAAATGCTTTGCCAATAGAGCCTTTGCCTATTGAGATTAAGAAACTTAGTTCTTCCTGGAACAAGGGACTAGGACTTTAAAAAGCTTTGGAGATATATACTTGACAATCCAACATAGAATAGAATAGAATATTTTGTTTCATTAAAGTCTATATGAAAATAGCACATGGACAAGCTAAAATAAATGGCATACAAAAAAGAATAGTAAAAATATTGTACATGTTACTTAAAAGATACTTGAAGGAAAGCCATCAAAAGTAGGGAGGTATGGATGGGAAAAAAGCTGATCAAAGTAAAACCTATCTTTACACTTTTAATTCAAATCAGAAGGTTAAGTAGTGGTTCTAAAGTATCAGGTACTATTTTCATTGTAGATAACATATTCTGGGAGGCTACAGGCAAAAAAAAAAATTCTATTCTGTCCTATCCAATTTTCCTGGAAGAAATTCCAGCAGCAGCCTGTAAGGTAAATGGAGTGTGGAAAACCAATTCACAAATTGCAGGCTTGGGAAAGAATAACACTGCTTAGAAAATGGAAGTCTATCAAGACTGGAAACATTTCACCTGTTTTCATTTAAATCTTTAATTTTTTTTCCCCCGCTGGTATAGGAAAGTGAATACAGTATAATGGAGCAGTAGGGAGTATGAACTCAAAATATCTCAAAATAGCCAAATTGCCATGCTCCATGTAATTTTCTGTGACTTAAAGAAGCTAGACATTTGTATAATCTTCCAGTTAAAATGTGGTTCATGAAACACTTATCTTCAAAAGTGGGCTCCCTCCTTCATATTATGTAATATTCACTTTAATCAATTAAGAAAGAGCTATTTAAAAAACTATAATGGAATTTAAAAGTGGAAAATTACTTGAAATCTTAGTAGACTAATACCCTGTTTTCAGTGAACTGCACAAATACCCATYACAGAGGGGTAAATATCCCCTGCAACATTAAGGATCTGAAAAAAAAAAAAAAAGATACCTCTTATTCTCATTAGTTACCCAATTTGTGTCAAAATGCTCCATGGTCAGACTTTTCCAAAGAGGCTAAATCCTTCATGTAAATTCCAAACTGTTTTATAAACAATCTGTGACAAGTCAATTAATTCTGGCAAGTCATTATCATTGAAGAATAGAGTTTCATTGCTTTAAAGCTGAGTTCAAAGCATAGATTTACTCTACCACCTCTTCTAGACCTTGGTGAGAGCTGCAACTTCTCCCTACAACCCTCTCCTCAGCCGGCCATCGGCTCCACCCTAGGAGAAGCCTGCCTTGGTTCCTGACCTGACCACCAAGGTTTGAGTGAATGTTCATCTGCTGGACTTAAAGCCAAGACTTTAGACTTTTGAACTTAGAACGCAGAGGGAATGTCTGTCATTAGCCTATCAKGATTAAGCATGTTTTCAGTGCTTAAAATTAATCTAGAATTGTTTGCTGTGAATTAATTAATCTGGACTTGTTTGCTGTGAATTGATTGTCTATTGCAGTGTATAGCATTAAGGATGGTCGTTTTCTTGAGTAAGAACCTATAGAATGAAATTGTATTGAGTKATCTGAGTGAATAAAACATTCAAAAGGGCAGAAGCACATGAACATTCTTTATTTCTCCCCCTCAACTGCATACGTTGCAAGTTTGCCCCTTGCGACATTATGCCATCTTATGACCTGCGGCTATCAGTACCAGTGGCTCTCATAATGACCAAGGTTCTCAGGGAAAAGGCAGAAATGTTCTCCCTTCCTTCAAGAAGTCTATCAGAAGGGTAGTACCACACATAAAAGGTCCCTAGCCTTGAGAGACTTCCCTCTTCACCTCTGGGAGGCATGTTCTTCCATTCCCAAAGTTTGAGAATCTTTGATCCATAGAAAAATAATATAATGACACTTACTTAGCAATTTCTATGGAAACAGGCACTGCTCTATGGACACACTGAATCTTCTCAAGCAATTGGTGAACTTTACTAATACCATCCTTTCACACATGAAAAAAGGAAAAAAATGACGTTCTGATAGTTCAAGGAATTTGCCCACAGTCACCTGAAAAGCTASAGCTCAGCTCTGAACTCAGAGCATCTGATTCCAGAGACAGCACATTTTACCACCATTCTATATTCTCTCACTTGTCCACTGGGATAATTATAAGAAAACCACAACAAACATGGAAACACTCTTCAATGTGACAGAGCAGTGACTGAACCAATGTCTCAAAGAGGAAAAGTTATTTAATAAACATAGGAGCCATCCAAGATGGACTGGGCTCATAAAACTGCACTTGAGACTATTTTTCCCCCTCCCTATCCTTTTCCTTCACTTCCACTTTCTTTCATCTTAACTTATCTTAACCTTAACTATACAAATCAGTCTCTATTGTACCCATGTGCCAAAGTGACACTATTGCGTACATCCACTCTAATACTTTTTTCGAGGATTTTAATGTCTCTATTTACTTCACTAAAAAAACAAGGAATGTCTTGTATTTGATCACTTTAAATTTGAAAAACATTTAAAGATAATGGTGTCTGAATGAAAAAACTACGATTGAAGTCAGTGATATAGATGAATCTCATAAATAAAAGAGTTAGCAAAAGAAGCCAGATGCATAGAATAATACCATATGACTAATTTATATAAGGTGAAAAAATAGACAAGTGTTAGTCTTCAGGGCAGTAGTTACCTGTGGTGTAGGGGCACAAGGGGGCTTCTGGGAGTCTATGACTATTTTCTCTTTTGATCTGGCTGCTGGTTACACAAATGTTTCATTTTGAGAAATTCACTGACCTCTAAACTTATATATTTCTGTACTTTTATGTTATACTTTGACACAAGAGTTTAGGGATTACTTCATCCAGAATTCTCATTTGCCTATTGCATTTTACCATTACTTTTCTCTTTTGCAATTAGATGTAATTAATTTGTTTCACAAAGCTGATAATATAAGCTATCTTATATTACATATAATACAATAATATGAAAGCTATACTGCATCATATCTAATATAATAATATATAAAATAGCAAAGTTATCCTTCAGAAATATTTTATGAGATGTTTTAAAACTAAGGTTTGTTGAAGTATAGAGTAAAATTCAGCCTTTCTATCATTTATATATGGTAAAATGTTCAGTTCTAAAGTTTTTGACAAGCCCTTTTGCTTGTGCAACCAGTACCCAAATCAAGATACAGATTATTCCATTATCCCTGCAAATTTCTTTTTGCTCTTCTGTAGTTAATGTCATCCCCCAACCTCTAGCCCCTGGCAACAATGATTGATTTTTCTGTCCTGATAGTTTTGACTCTTCCAGAATGCCAAATAAAAGCAATCATACAGTAYGTATTCTTTCCAGTTTGGCTTMTTTTATTTAGCATAATGTATTTGAGATCCATCTATGTAATGTATAGCAGAAGTCTATTCCTTTTTATTACTTAATAGTGTTAAAATGGAAGTATATKCCATAAATGAAGAACATTTAAGAAATTTCTAGTTTTTGGTCCTCATGATTAAAACCACTATAAGCATTCAAATATAGATGTTTGTATGAACATGAGTAATATATTTTGTTTTATAATAATTCTAGTTGTACTTTTACCTATACAAAATATTTTTATATTGCCTTTTTCATAGTAATTCTGCTACCTAGAGAATATACCAACTAGTTCAAAATAATGTAAAATCAGAAATTGAATTCAAATTATATAATAAACATAAACATTGGTCAATTTAGCAAATTCCTTGTCTAAAATATTTCTTTTTGTATTTACATAATAAAATCTGAACATGTTTTGTTAAAGTTCTAGAATAATAAGTAAAATTGTTTTTAAATTGTATATAATTGCYCATTAGGACTCAAGTCATAGTAAATGAAGGAAAAAGAGTTAAGAAATGTGGCTGGAAAAGAAAAGTGTTTTAAGTATCTGTCACAACTTACTAAATTAATATATAATTATAACTTTAATCTAACTGGTTAGTATTTTTTTATCCATGATAACTGGGAAAGGATTTGAGTGATAAAATGGAAACATGGTAGATGTTACCTAGCATGTTGTGGTAAAGTGGAATGGCCCGTCCATGGGTAGTAAATGCAGTCATGACTAGTGGGACCGTTACACCTGCAGGCAATTACAGAACAGAAAACATCATTCTCCATCCACAGTGACATGCACACACATGCACCAGTGCTCACACATGGAGCCTCGGAGGAAGAACATGGGAAGCAAGCACACCAAGTACCTATCCATCAGGCCGATGCAGTCTTCAATACTTGAGCCTATGCACCTGCAGAAGATGTGAATTAAAAAAATACAAGGAAAGAAAAATTAGTCATTTTCAAAAACAATCAGGTAAGTACTGACTGTGTCAAATTCTTAATTTCAATTATCACATAATTTTTGAAACATGACTTTAAAGCCAGCAAAAAGAGAATTCCTTGATGGATATACAGAATGAATTGCCAGAATCACCTAAGTGGAATGGCAAGGAAACATGGGCAGAGTAAAGGAATTTTTATCCTGGTTCTATGTTTTTTTTTTTTTTATTGTTGGTCGTTCAAAACATTACATAGTTCTTAATATATCATATGTCACAGTTTGATTCAAGCTATGTTTAACTTCCAAACATACTTCAATTCATTTGCATCATTTATGATTATATGTCTTGGTGAATAACTTTATATCTCAATCACTATAATTATTTTCATGTATATGAGTTATTAAAAGCAGCCTTAAGTGTAAGTAAAAATCAAAACCAATAAAAAAGGAAACATGAGAAATTCAATACACTATAATAACCTCAGGTTTGATGATCATTAAAGATTGATTTTGGCAGAAAATGAGTTAATATGCTTTAATGTTATTCCTATGGATACTTTACATAATCGGATTATTTCAATTCTTTGTTGTGACTGTTTTTAAGAACATATTTATCTTTAAATATTAATTTATTCAAAAGYGTAAACTGAATTCATCATGCTGTAGTTTATTTTGATGATTTCTTTTAAAATAGCAGTGCCATAACATACAAATAAACACAGTATTTTTAAAAAGCATTTTCGGCCCTAATATTGAATGGAAACAATAACAAATAAATAAGAAACACCATTAAGTACATGAATAAACTCAGACCCAGGTAACTAAAGAACCCACTGATTTGAACATTTAAATAAACACATGTAAGTGCACAGAATTCTAATACACAGTCCCTAGAACTTCATTTTAAGCTACTATAGAAATATAATTTCTTCCATCTTCCAATGTACTTGAATTGCTCTTATTTTCTTTTTCCCATCAAAGATGAATAGCTCCAGGAAATTATTAAGATTATACCTACAGGTATTTGATTTGTAACAAAGAATTTGTATTCATATGAATATATATATGTATATATATATTTGTGTATATATATTCATATTACAGATAGATATAGATATTCTAAACTTTTAATTTTCAAAGCTGAAAAAGTACCTGGAGCTAAAATCATTATAAAATGATCTAAAAAGTTGCCAATATACAAGGCTAGATCATGCATAATATCTTTAGATGACTCCAAACATTAGTGAATTAATAAAACTTATCTAAAATAATTATTAAGTCACTGTCTTTCTGCTTCATTATTATGTGTTTCAATATTTCTACTGGCTATAAAATTGATTTCCTTGCATTTTTGCTTTGTGGATTTGTTTTAAGCAGCAAAGAATGACAAATTTTAGCTTTTATAAATTTTGGAAATATACCTGTGACAAAAGTCTTTAGAACACAAACCAATAGTAAATAACTGGGTGCGTATCATTGAATTGGTAATATATATAGTCCATAATCAAAAACCACTTATAAAAATTAAAAATTAACTGCTAAAACCATCTTCCAAATGGTCTCATGTCTTTCTCTTATTCTATTCTGAAGAACTTATTTTTCTAAGTTCCAATTATATCTTCTTCAAAATGCTTTTTGAATACAGTATTGYCATTTTGTAAAATTAATAGTCTACTTCTTATTTCCAAGTGAGAATCTCAAAAGCTATGGTTAGTTTGCAATCTTTATAATAACACTTGAAAGATAAAAATATTCAATAGTGAAATTCAACTTGAGGGGAAAATGTGAATAATGAAAGATCTTCACTCATTCAAGAAGACCATTATTACATGCCTACTAAAGTGTTCCCACTCTTTTAGGAGCTGCAGGGAGAGAAAAGATGAATTAGACACTTCTATTTTCATTGAGCTCACAATTTACTGAAGGAAGTAGATGCATAAACAGATGTGTATTGTATGATATGATAAGTGTAATAAGACATGTAAAAAAAAGAGTAGTTTAAAGGAGGACACAAGAGGAACACCTTGTGCTACTCTGGAGGGTGGTAGTCACACTCTGGGATGGATCAGTAGTTTAGGGCACTGAGGAGTGGGGTAAGCATGGCATGAGTTCTAAGGGGTGATAAAAGAAGGAACCACAAACAAATTCGAATAGTTACAGAACAAATCATGAGGCAACAGAGATAAGAGAAAGAGCCAGACTTAGAAGACTATKTTTTAAAAAATGGAATAGTAAATTATTGTATGGTTTTAAAGAAATTGTGAAATTGCTAGACTTGTATTTTAAATAGATGTTTTTGCTACGTGGAGGCTATTCAGCTGGGGTCTTGTTCAACATGGAACAAGTTTTAGGCCACGTAAGAGATAAGGAACTAAACTACCAAAATGATCACTAAGGATACAGGCAAAGGGCACAAGAAGTGCCTTCAAAGGTATGGCATGGGGAGGAGTTGGTGGCTGATTAAAGATGCAAGTGAAAAGACCAAATGACTTGGGGATGACTTATGTTTCTAGCTTGCAGAATAGAGATAGCACCCTGAGAGAATCCAGGAGGATTTTCTCTGTTTGTGTTTAAGGAAGAGAAGGAGGGGTTGATGCTTTCAATCTAGAGTTTAGTGCTGTTATCCTACATCTAGGTGAAAATGTTCCTCATCAGATGGAAAGGCTAGTCTGGGTTAAAGGGGGAACCACACACATAGCATAGTCAGTTTTGAAACAATGGCAGTAGACAGATAGGCTGAAGAGGAATACATAATGTGAGAAAAGCAGAAACGAAAGATTAAGACTCAAGGAACTCCAGTGGCATATAACATCAAACAGTGGCTTGTGCCCAAAGCATGTAGAAATATAATTGAGTAAAATTAATTAACTGTGGTGTCTTTGAAACCAAATCAGAAAAGAACCTTGCGAAGAAAAGGAAGATCATCAGTGTAAAAGGCAGAGAAATCTAGTAAATTAAAAATTACTAAAATAATTTTGTCATTGTTAAGTCTCTAGAATTTTTCTTCTTATAAGTTGAGAAGAAAATTGGAGATGGGGCAATAGATACAAAAATAAGTGGAAGAGAGGGAATAAGGGACAAGTTTTAGTTCAAGAAGTCTGAGGAGACTGATTAGGATATTTGTGATTTAATTGTATTTATAAACCAAGGATAAAAGAAACAAATGAAACACTAAGAAGAGTGAGGCTATGATTGATTGAAACCACACTTTCCAGGTATAAGCCACTGTGTATTTAAAGATGCATGTAGTATTTCAATTCCTGCACTTCCTCGCTATAAGCCTCAGAAATTACATTTATTCAGCAAAAATCATAGAACAAGAGAAATATTAAACTCTAAACAGTCAAAATGAAAAGTAAGAGACAAAAATAGAATATGGAATAATACAACTAARGAACTAATGTTCCAAATTAGAATGTTTTCAGAAAGATCAGAAAAGAAATCCATAACACACCTAACATATTCCAAAACTRTATCTGGAATTCTGATGATTGATGTGTGGTTGACATTATTTGTTACTTAATAATGTATAAATCTTGATATATTCATATAACAAATACAATTTAGATATTTTTGGGGAAAATCTCCAATTTTGAAATGAAAATTATAGCACATTTTTAAATTTTATAATTTGAAGATATAGATAACAATTCCACAAGCAGGTCTTCTTTTCTTCTCTCCATCAATACATTTTTTATTATAAAATTTTAAATTATAAAAAGAATCGATAAAAAGAGGTTAAAGTACATGTGAAATCATGATTCTAAGATTAACAAAAWTTCAATGAGAGTTTTAAAGGATGTCCCATGAAATAAACTCTAATCCATGTCTCAAATACAGGTTTGATTTGAAATAAGACTAAAATGAAATCAACATCCATTGAAAAGGGTTGAAGTAATGTTACTAAAGAAATTACAATCTCTGAWCTCACTGCCAACTAATAATAATAAATTTATTTTACAAGCTTTCTTTTAAAATTCAAATTAGTTGCTAATTAACAAGTAGGCACAACATTTCTCAGTTTCAAATTCTTGGTCATCATTTCAAAATAGAGTAGAGAAGGGTCTGGTCTTCAATTGAGTAAAGAATATACATTCACTGTACTGCGAGTTCATAGATTTCAAGATCTTCATCTTCATTTCTGAACTTGCCTATCACTGAGGCAGAGCAAGTATACAACACAACGAAGTCAAAGAATGAATAAAATAAGAACACGGTGCTAAAAAGTGTCCTCTAGGCATGGCAAGAAGAGACGTGTTTTTTTTTGTTGTTGTTGTTGCTCTTGTTGTTGTTTAGTTGGTTGCCTCTTTGTATTTTCCCCTTTCCTTTAGGGATTCTGGTGAGAATTTCCTGATAGAGGCTAAATGGATAATCTATTTTAAACATATCTGAGGACCTTATTAGAGCCAATATGTTTAATGTACTTTCACAGTAGTAAAAGTGCTTTTAAGGTATTACATAGGTAATTTTATTTTCAGAAAAATCATTAAACAGTATTCAAAGTAAGAACTTTACTTCTAAAAAATGTAATTGGAAAGACCATTTCCATTAACTTGGTTCTTGAATTACCTGACATAATATTGGCATATAAAAGAAAAGCGGCTTTCCAAAGTGGAGCTGGCCTGGTGAGCTCACACCTACAGATAGGTCATCTATTACATGTGTTCAGGAATGAAAATAGTCACTCATCCTATCAACCCCACTGCTGCTGGGATCTTTTGATAGACAGATGATACTTCTATATGCTCATCTTCAATTTGGAGATAAGGGGAACTCAGTCTCAGGGGAACTCCTAAATTTTGTCTGAGGCACAACAAAATAACTTGTTCTGGGAATCACAGCATTTATGAAATGAGTAAACTTGAACAATATAGAGGCAATTACAAAAAGGATAGTAGGAAGCTAAATAAAAACAATTAAAATTTCTCAGGACCAGGTCAGTCATTAGAGAAATACATTTACCTTAAAAGATGATGGGGAGTACAATATTTGGATTCTGTGTCACTATGATTATGCAGCCGTGAGTTGCTAAGGGCATCCTCTTTCTATTTATCAGAGTTCCCAAATGATCTGGTGAGATTTGTTCCTTATTACACCTTCATATTCCCTTTTCGCTGAGATCCAAATTTTGCTGCTATGGTAATTTGATCGTTTTCTATTGCTCCCTACTTCTGTTTCCCTCCACTATGTATGATTTCCTTTATTATATAATCGTGATTTAAAAGGGTGGAGAGGAAGACACACCAGCCACACATCCAGACTATGGCTCTGTGATCTCTACTTTCATTTCCCTAATGGCTGCATTGTAATTAGATTTGCAAAAACCGCAAAAGGTCTCATTTTGAATGGCAACAGCTGTTGACATCAACATTATATTGAATAATTTACTGGTTTAATTTTAGCTGCAAAACAATAAAACCCTCTTGTGGATGATTTTAGCAGGCAAACTTTTCTCTTCCAGTTGCTGACTCTTCTGCTCCAGCAGTACCAGTTTTTTTTTTTTTTAATGAAATACTCTTAACTCAGGTGTGCCAAAAACCCACAAGCAGAACAGTTTATTACTTCTAGTTTCCTTGAAGCAAAATGTCTATGTGACTATTTCAGCATCCTCAATGTACTTGCTTATGTATAAACCAATGAGTTGGTAGCTAGCTCTTCCAAACTGAATTTAAATTTGAATGGCATAATATTACTTTACCTTTTGAGAATCTGCCACTTCACAGAGTGACTTAAGCTGWTTTCTTGACCTGTAGGAAATTGTAGCAGCATCTGGAAACTGATGTTTTCTTGGCAGAAAATGATGTTGCTTGCTTAACTTCTTCAATATCCTCTAACAGCTAGGCCTTAATCTGGCAGAAAATCTTTTTATGGAACTTCACACTTTCCTCCCAGATAGAAAGTACCCAAGATGAGTCTCAGCAAGTGTGTGTGTGTGAGTGTGTGTGTGCGTGCACACACACAGCCTTCTGGACATTCACAATGGAGAAGAGGGTTTATGGACAGGAGGAGGATAGAGTATGTGAAATTGCTCTCAATTCTAACATTATGCACTTTCTGGAGGGGRAAAAAAAAGAAAAATCCTTACTAAGGTAAATTTGAAAACGTAATTTTGGGATTTTCTAGATGAGTGATGTTACTTCTTTTATAGTTGAGTGTTCTTTCTCTAATGTGTTTTTGTTATTCCACTGCTACCCATATCACAGGTAATCTGATCATTATAYATTGTACAATACAACCTTTTGAAACAGAAAAATGTGTAACCACCTTCAAATTATCCTATTACAGTCAAAGAAATTTTAGGTTATAGGATAACAAACAACAAAATTACTTGTACAAAATATTCTAGTTATTTTATTAATATTCATATCACTAGGTCTCCTTTTTTTCTGCCATTACTACCTTTGCTTGGATTTTATTGAAGGAGTTATCCAAGGTAGTATTTATCAAAGAGAGATATCCTCACTTTAAGCTATGACAACAAAGAAACAGAAAACCTGATAAAGATTTACTAAACATAAATCTCAGAAGTATGATTATTAATTTATCTTTTCTGAATCTTGAATCTACAGTTAAAATTGAAGGAGTTTCTATACCATATCCAAACTATACTCAACACTACCTTCCTGGCCTGAATGTGTTAATAAAATGGTTGTAGGTAAAGGTTAAGCAGAAATACTTCTGAGGGCACAAACAACTTTGACTCTTTTAGAAAGGAACTCTCTAAAGACAGAGTTTTATGATGACATTCTGAGTTTAGGAGACTGTATCAGGAATAGAGATGCATGAGGGCACCTACTGACTAGTAACACGTACAAGTTGGAGCCCTTGACTGGCAAGGATGCTTACCCTTGGGTGCAGTTCGGATGGCATGGGTGGCACTCCCGATCCTGATCCGCATACTTGAAAATGAAACTGTTTGCCCCCTGTAAGCCATCTGGACATTTCTCTACACAGTTTGGACCATCCTTAAAGTGAGAACATTTTGTACAGTTGTCAGGTCCCTAGAATGTGAAAAGAGGAAAAAGAATACAAAGAAAAATGGGTGCCTTTTCATTGAAACATAAGCATGTGGTTTATTTACTAAGACTTCATTTGGTGGCAAATAACTTTTCCTCTAAAGAGAACATATTCAGCAGAACAAATAGAAATGTAGCTCTTGTAGTATAAATAGCAATAAGAGAGGTTCGAGTTCAGTTTTGATACCCTGTGTGAGGGGGAAATATTATAGGGACATACATATGCTTGAAATATTTGCACTTTTTAACCCATTAGTCCCTGGGTTAACGGATTTCCATGGAATGCCTCTAGTGTGAATTAATTTGAACAGCAAAATGGTTCAATGACTTTTTCAGAAGGATGTCAGTGTTTTATTCTTGTGATCTATTCCTAGTCATATTATATTGCAACAATATTTTATAATAACCCATTTTCCATGGGGGTAATTCATCACCATCACTAAAAACAAGTGAATGGGCTTACTAAATAGTTAGAAAAAAGATAAAACAGAAATTAGGAAACACTGATTTACATAGAAGAGTGAAATGTAGACTGACTTTTGGTTGTAGAAGGACTTCATTTGAAAATTAAATCTTAAAATTTATTATGATGGAATTACTAAGAATTGGGTAGGTTAGGCATATAAAAGTAATTTTTAGGTCATTCCTCATCTCAGATCAGTTTGTGCTAAGGCCAAAACTCACATTAAGTCTATTTATATATATTTTAGTAAATCACAGAACAATATTGAAAGTTTGAGAGTCATAACAATGTATATTTTGATGAGTTAATGTCAAAAATTAAATTATAAATAGATAGAAAAACAAAACTGTATATGAAGAGTGTTTTTTTCCAAGATGAAGATAATATGAGTGTGAAAATTTAAGTAGAATTAACTCATTTTATATATTTATTTATAATATACATTAATGAATAATATCAGATTAGTAAACAATAATAAAAAGATTTGAAGATCAACATAATTAACATTTAAAAATTAATGTTAGACATGTAAGAATTTGTGRATCAATTAAAAAAATTTTATCTCATATAGTGGATAATAAACACATAAAATAATAAGTAGTTTAATTTTAGATCAAAGATAATTGAGAACATTTCAATTTAAAAATGTTATTTTTTCATAAGAAATACCTATAATTTTGCACATGTACATATTTTGAATATTACTACTTGAAATTTAATTTTAATCCTCCTTTTTGAAAATCATATTGTTTTAAGATTATAAGATAATAGAATCTCTTTGACCACTCCTCCCCGGAACTTCTCCCCTCAATTGTTCTCCCCAACATCTATCTATATCTAAAGAAGAGGACAACAATTTTGATAGCTCACACCGAAGACAATTCACATGAAAAGAATAAAATAACTACCAAGGAGACAATTATATCAGTATTGTAGTTACAAACTATGAATTTGGAAGTCAAAATATAAACACAATATTGTGCAGGAGTGTTTATTTAGGAGATACCGTAGAGATGAAGTCTGTTCATGGGAGTTAGTTATGCCACCTCCACAAACATTAACCAAAAAGAAGTCAGAATTTGCCAGTTGCTGATATAATGCACCAGGAGAATAAGAAATATAAGACAAAAATTTAAAGATGGAGATTGCTAATGAAGAATCATAGTATGTTAATGAAGAAAAAGCAATCAGGCAAAGGCTGGGAAATCTTGAGACTGGTAAGGGTTATTCAAGCAGCTATTTCACTATTTTGATGTGATGTTCAGAGCTTAAAAATAAATAAATAAATAAATAAATAAGAACAATTGGCCTATGAAACCTAGTTCCTATTCTACCTAAAGAGTTTGCTAATGTTAAGTTTTTATTTCCTCCCAAAAAAGAACACTTTACACCCTTCCAATTTTAACACCTGCTCATGGGTACTTAGGCACATAATACCATCTATTATAGGGAATGGTTYACTGTGCAAGTATGCTCAGTGGCATGACTTATGGTACAAGAAACATGCTTGTTGCAAAACACAGAATAAAACTTTCTATGAGTAAATTAGACAGTTTTAGTCTGAATTAGGAGTCAGGAATTATTTCTCTCTTAAGTTCTTATAATGTAAAATAATACCCAGACAATATCAGAAGATGTAAAAAAAATACATGGAAATCAAAATTAAGTTCTTATTTAATATTCAAGATTATTTTACTGAAGTAAATTATATTTTGTTCTTTGTTCTTTAAACATCTCAACTATTTGATTATTTTATTATGATAGAAAACAAAATGTCTTAAGTTGAGATAACTAAAAAAACTATTCTAACAAATCTCAAAAGAAATTAAACATACTGATTTCCCATTTTATTTCCATAGTAAAAGACTCAAAAATATACATACATATGATGTTTACTCTTCTATCTTTGTATTTCCAAAGATTTTTAAAAACTAGGTGTAGAGAATGAATGTATAAATGCAATAATAGAAAATGGAGGCAATATATTTAATTCCTGATTGTAAGCTACCTCTGGACACAGTAATATATTAGACAACTAAATATCAGGCCAAATCCTGATAGAAATATTGCATTTTACTCTCAGGATTATTTTCTCTGGTAGCTCTACTTGGAGCCATATATGAATATGCTAAGTCCCCTCTTAATAGAGATAAGGTACAGCTTACTTTGGACAGGGAGTTGTATGTAGAATTCACATGAATTTGAATTGATATGCTAAACTCTCCAGTCTTCTCGCTCCTGGATGCCATGACTCAGGGACCCCATGTTGAATAGGAGTATCATGAGTTCAAAGCCTGCTACARTGCTAGGCCACTACAGGGAGGGGGCTGCTTCTGAATAGTTAAAAGATTATCCGTGTACCCTATGTGAAAGGGCCAACGTTTTTTCTGAGAGCTACTGCAACATGAGGGCTATATATTGTGTCAGCACAACCTTTTAAAAAAATCTAGCTTTAAGAGCCACTCTAGCTTTTATATAAAACAAACATGTATTTTGAAAATCAGTTCCATTCCCTTCTCCTTTCTCTTCCATTGCTGCCCCTCTGGGCAACATTTTGGTCTCTTGAAACTTTGTCTGATTTTCCTAACTTTTCTTTCTTCTYTCACTCCTTCTCTTACCTTTCTTAACAGAACTATACAGAAATAGTGAAAGTAACACAGAATGGGGGAAATTGTGAAAATAAATCAACTAAATTAAATAATGAAGATCAACAGCAGACAGATAAAGATATAAAAGCAAAGGACATCTTTGATTTCAAATTTATTCCTCTCACAATGATCCTAGATTCCTGTCATAATTAGGCAGGATAATACTATCCCGTTTAACATAAAACTGGCATATTCCCAGAAAGCATATTCTTCTTATCATACTAAAGACATTGTTGCCTGAAAAAAAATAATAATAAAGTAAAATGATAASTGCAAGAAACTTGGGGTCAGATCTTCTATAGCTGAGTTGCAGCTCCTCATCCTCCTGAGAGTCTGTCTTTTGGAGAAACTTTCTATCATTTTAAGTTCAATTTCTTTTCATTTTAAGGTTATAGCATGCTTCAGATTAACAGTGTTTTATAAATATAAATGTACATTACATAGATTATTATCATTAGGGAAATATTGACAAGTCAAAGAAATATGATTTCACCAGAATAAACCGTAAGGGCAGGAGTGAGATTTCCAAATAGCGTTTGTGACTTCCTCTATCAGTGTCAGTCTCATGGAGAAGCCTCCAGAAACTGCTGGATAACCCAAGTGATACATGTCTGTTATTTAGCACACAAAACCATCTCTGTCACCAGTTGTGATATCAACATGTGGACTCAGAAATAGACAAAAACCTTATATGAATTGTAAAGGCTGAAAGCAAGCAAATCCCCATCCTAAGTAGGCACAAAATTTGGACCACTGCTTGAGCTTAGCCATTGCAATTTTTCTAAAAAGTACTGTGCTAATAACTGCAAGGCTTACTGATCTCAGACTGTCTTGATTAAGTGCTCTTATCCTCCACAGATGCCTCATCTAGCCTTCCTGAACTTTCTATTTTTTTTTTTGATGGATCACCTTCTCTTATCTTTTGATATGTCAATTCATAATTTTAGTATTAAATAGTAATATTAATTATCTGGCCCAACAAATGCTGCCATTATGGAAAAAAAAGTGTTCGTTATAAGACTATTTTCACTCCCTCCTATCAAGTAATTTATGACAATTCAAAGAGCATTAATTTGWGGTTATCTTAATGTTTATATTTATAAACTGTCAAAATTCCACTGGAGAATAAATAAACAACAAACTGTAAAAACCTAAAAAATAAGATAAATTAATAAAGCGGTTCTTCACTATTATAATTTGGTATAATAGGAGGCATCATGAGGATCAGTAAAAGCATGGGACAGTCAAACGCCCTAAGGTGGGAGGCTACAATTGTGATCCATACATTTACTATAATGGACAATTYATTTAACAGTTCTGAGATTATTCATTGGCAAAATGGGAACAATATCTAAATGAAAATGAAAAAAAATGTCTGTGAAAATACTCTACAAAAGAACTAGCTCACAAAGAGCACTCAACTTTAAGTCATGGATATGAATATTATTTATTTATTTAGGTATCTGGGATTGGACCCAAGGACACTTAACAAATGAGCAACATTGCCAGTTCTATATATATTTTTTTTCTTTTGAGACAGGGTCTTACCAAGTTGTTTAGGGCCTCTCTGAATTGTTGAGGCTGGCTCTGAAGTTGTGATCATATTGCATCAGCCTCCTGCGTGGCTGGGATTATAGGTATGCACCACAACACTCAGCATAAATATGATTTATAACTATCATAATGATTTTGACTTATGATTAATAGATAAAATGGTCATAAAATTTTTCAATACTTGAAAACTAGTATAGTCATTTTATGGAGCAGATTATTATAGAGATTTTTACAGGGAAAATTCCCTATGAAATTACTCTAGAAAATATAAGGTACACTTTTTACTATGCTTGCATTATTTCTAAGCAAATTAGTTTTCTGTCTATGGAATTAGGTGGACTAAAAATACTAATTACTAGGAATGAGTGATTTTTTTTAAAGGTAAAAATTACAAGAAAGGTAAAAATATCATGTTTTCAATAAACAGAATGCAATATATGCAAAAAAGCCTAATGTGAGAATAATATATTTAAATATGCAAATAATGCCTCTGTTGATGTTGGAGAAATATTTTTCACATTAATATTTAGTTTGTTAGTATGTAAAAACTCATAATTGTTGTGCTAATGGAACCTGATACAAAGTAGTTCTTAAACAGTATTTGTTGACTAAATGAACAAATGTTCTTAGAGTTTTTTTTTTTTTTTTTTTTTTTCCGGAATTAAAAGGATAAAGGAAAGAAAAACAAAATTATGTGTCAAGAAAAAGGTTCAGTTAGACAATAGTACTAATAAATCCATAGGAAATATGAGTGTAATGAAGTAGCATCCATAAGGATTCACAAATAAAATAACAGATAGTTTTGCTGTTGCTCATAACTTTTTAAAAAAGGTGTTTACTGACCCAGAGTCATTCGATCACCCCCAGCCTGGATTAGAGGACATGGATAAATCCCTGATCATTTTGACTGTTTATTTTCAAAGTTTCAGAGTCTCTGAAGAGACTGTTTTATTTTATGAATTATTATCTAGAACTTACCTAAATATATTAGAGTTCAAAGAACAAATATTGATAACTCAACTTGTTTTAGTAAACTTTTACAGAAATTTATTTCCTTATGTCTCATGACATTCCCTAAGGAATTCACATTTCTCATGCTGTGGATTGACTATATGTCCATGCCTGTTCATGGTGGAGAAGGAAAATAGCTGCATGTGCCCTTTACGTACTTACATGGAGATCATTACATATTAAATTGCCTTTTAGACTTTGGTTCTTCAAGCCAAATAACATCACTTCTTTCTCTCAGGGATCTGATTTTCCAAGTTTAATCATCCTGTAGTAGTCCTCTGAACTGTCCACGTTTTCCATATCCTTCTTTAGATGAACTTCCAGAACAGGTCATTGGGGCCTAATGGAAGTGTGGAGGGCTCAGTGATATTTTCTTTTCCTAAGCTAATTGTGTGCTAAATAAGCACTCTGGTAGAAAAATTAATACTTTTTAATTTTAAATAAATTATTATGGAGCAATGTTGAGCTTTTAGTTATACCCAAATTATTTGGTCCCCAAATTATCTACTGAGAGATGATTCAATAACAGATAAACTGGAAATTTTTCTAAAGAAGGATGAATATGACACTTTGAGATGACAAACTCATACTGATCTTATTATTAAGGAAAAGCCCAAATGACAGAAACCAAAAGGAGGTCTAAAAAATAAGTATCATTTTCTCCCTAAAGATAACTTCAAATTATATAAATGGCACCTCATCCATGAAGACTTTCCTGATCCTATAGCTTCTCCTTGGATTCTCATAGCTCAGTTCTTCTCTCTGTCATATTGTTTATCATAATGCTTTTATTCTTTCTTCTTTTTACTATCCTTCACACTGCCATAATAGACAAGTGGGTAAATATAGAAATGAATGTGTTATACTTTTTCCCCCGAACACGACGTGAACAATCACATTTAAAAATCTCTACATTTCCTTCTTACAAATTTTTCTTCAAAGCATGGGTCAAACACCACTTCACTAGTATCTTCCTTGAAGTTCCCAACATCTAGCCCAATGATATAATTCGTTTCTCATCTTCCTATAACTCACAACTGTTTATATTACATCAATGATTAAACTTCTAGCAAATTCTCATGCAGCATTCTTCTCAACAACGTGCCATTTTCCAAGACAACTTCATGGATATACTTCTGTTTAGATAYATTATCAGGGGGATAAATATTGATACCATTGTATTTTCAAATATTTTATCTCACATTTTATCTTCCTACAAAACTCTAAGCCTCTCAAAGGTGAACTATTAAACATGTTCCCCCATTGCATCCTATAGATACCTACTGAATGGATGGATAAACGATAAGACAATGATAGAACGAACATTCACACATGATACTACACAGCCAGCACACCCACAACACCTCCAGGCTTACCGGTCCATGGCATGTGAGGAGGCCATCTTCCATCTTCTCACACTGGGAGTCACACTCCACGCAGATGGAGCCATTCTCGAACTCCCGAAATTCACTGTGAAAACATCAGCTGCATGAGGAGGTGTAAGCAAACAAGCTGTCAACTTAAAAAATGAACTAACATCTGCTAAAAGTCCTATTGGCAGAGTAAATTCTTGAGTTTGTTTCTCTATGTGCCAGGAGCATCAGAAACATTTCCCTGTACATTAAGGACTAAGTTCTCCATTAGGAGAAAAGATAAACGGCAGCCAGATGGCTCTCCTTGTCSTCTATTGGATTCAATGAAAGACTCATTCTGGAAACCTCTCCTGTGAGACAGATTCTAGCCCTCTCAAAAGAAAAAAAAAAAAAAAAAGTAACTCTTCTGATGACACAGCAAAACGCTTTCTACCTTTTTAGATAAGGGTATGCCTGTTTGTATCCATATAAAAGTTTACTCTTGGATGAAGCTTTAATTTCTAAACTTTGAAAGAACTATTGTATTTTTCTTGTTGCTAAGTTACATGAAATGTTCCCCATCCTTGTCCTTCAAATCCCAAGAGTCTTCAATTTATTTTTGGTGAAACTTCAAAAAACGCTTTGATTTCTTTTCTCCTTTCAAAATATCTGCCTTAGAGAATTAGAAAAAAATATCTTTTATGGTGGATTTTATTTTCTTAGATTATTGATCTAATATCACAACATTTTTTTTCAGTCTCAATTCTTTTTGAAGTAATTCTTTATGGTATAAAATTTTTAAAAATAGTTTAATGGCTAAATCCTAAAACTTTCTAATTGAAATCTATTGGGATGATGGTCATCCTTCCTGCATTTATAAATTTTTTGGACTATTTGTGTATTATATGGTTATCAATACCTAAATTTTCCAAAGTCCCTTCTAAATGTTTCATTTTCATAATTGGGTATCAGTCGTCTATAATATGTTCCAACTACCTCATTCCTACTAATGTACAAGAGGTTGAAGAACTGGGTAAGGACAATTTTGAATGTTATTTAGAGTAATTAACAAAATTTGACTAATATGTGTTTATTGATTATTTCATGCCTTTTTACCCTGACCTACCATTCCAAACCACCAATTGATTAGGTGACAAATTCAAACATATTATTCCTAGAGTGATGAATTATATTTCCCAATTGCATACTTAAAGCCTTCATAAATAACAGAAGTCCAAAGGTTGAACAATGTTTTCTGTTGGTTATATTACAACTCTATCTATTCCAAGGCTGAATAATTAGTTTGGCTTTCAAAATGAATAGCATAAATAGGTGGTTTAATTATGTGTGTACATAGGCAGTTACATGCTTTTTGCATTTTAAGTATGAGATATTAGTTTGTTATAGATCAAACCTTTTATGAATTTTCTTAAATTTAAACTCTTAATTATAAAAACAAGTTTTCTTTTATATGCTTCATCAACAGGAGTGATATAAAGTATTCAACAGAGGACACATTCAGAATACAAAGATCCATATGACCTGGTAYGAGGGAGTGGTTAAACTGTAAAGAAGATGAAAAACACTGTATAGTAAAATTTTATGACAGCTCAAAGCCAGGGACCAGCTAATTACTGGTTTTGGATAATAATTTCTTTGGAAATTAAATGGTTATGAAGCACATTATTTTTGTGCTACTCAAACAGAGGCCATACTTTTCTTACTCTTCTACTCCAAAACCCACTTGTCCACACAGAGAGGTGAAGAGGAAGATGCAGGTCAGAAAAATCATGGAGACAACCTGTTGCTTTTTTCTTCCACAGACTTACAATTGTGTGGCTCTCTTCTTTTCTACCTTCCTAAAGRATCCTACCCTTTACTGTTGCCACCATTGCTCTTTTCCTTCCCTGCCCCCTAGTGACTTTACTGTGACTTTGCCAGAGTTCCCCTTCCACTTGAATTTGACCTAACAAATTAGTCTGTTGAGCATGAACTTTGCGTGCTAAGTTTKTTTCACTTGTTTTTGCTGTAATACTTGTGTGTTAGCTTAACCGATTCTTTAATCACAAGTGAATGCTAGTCTTCCAAAACTAAAACCCACAATTAACAGTGATATTTCTAGGACTTAAATACTTCAACTTTTCTAAGTTTAATTTCCTAAATATCCTCTGTAAAGGAGAAACATATTGTTTCAATGAGGGGTTGTGATTTTTAAAAATAAAAATGCCTGCAAAGATTTTTAGACTGGTACAATCGTTAATGCTTCTGTGTTTACTGAAAGTTTCAGAAGAGTTGACAGAAAGGTTTTAATTTAATTTTATTTTTTTTTTTTACTTTTTTGGTAAGAGGGATTGAACCCAAGGGCATTTTACCACTGAGCTATCTCCCCAGGATTTTTATTTTTAAATTTTGACACAGGGACTTGTAAGTTGCTGAGGGTCTTCCTAAATGAGCAAGGCTGGCCTTGAATTTGCAATTCTCCTGCTTCACCCTCCTGAGTTGCTGGGATAACAGGTGTGTGCCCCTGTGTCCAGGTAGGCAGGAAAATTTTAGGTAYCATTGCAATTATCTTTTTCTTTCATTCTAAATTGATTATGCATTGTAGTTAAGAAATACAGAAATACAGTGAGTTATATGACCCATATTTGAATGCTAATCAGCCAGGAATTGATTATTTTTTCTTTCTCCCTTCAAAAAAATTCTCTTTTGAGGATTTGTTCTCTTATAATCCACACACAGACACACATGTACACACTGCATGTGTGTGCATTCGTGTGTGTGTGTGTGTGTGTGTGTGTATGCTCTCCCCATAATTTTGGTAAATGTGAATTGCATTTGATTATTTTCAGCAGTTTTTAACATGACTATTTCACTAAACCATTTAAACAGCTCAGAAAAATAGACACAAAAGGAAATTACGATAATAATTTCTATTGCTGGAACTTAAGACCTTATTCCATTGTTATTCCTATTTTTCATATAAGAAAAAAGTTTAGCCAAGTGCAATAGTGAGTGSTTGTAGTCCCAGCTACTTTGGAGTCTGAGCAGGGGGATCACTTGAGACCAGGAGTTCAAGACAAGCCTGTATAACAAAATTTGACCCCATTTCAAAAAGGAAGTGAGGAGGGAGGGAAGAAGGAAACAAATCCAAGTTTAGAATGAATAGGGTGTTTGTCAAAGGTTGAACATTTCAATTAGGAAGTAATGAAGTTAAGATTTGAATTCATTCTTCCTCAAAGGCCTTAACTACCCAGGCAACCACGCAATGTTGACAGAAACTAGCCAATGTCACAAGATGGGAAGAGGGAAAAATCCTTCATTGGACAGCCAAGATTTGAATTAATRTAAATATGAAAATTAAATTGATGTAAATATGAAAAATGTTAAATTCAAAATCRATCTCTTCATCAGTGTTTAGAGACCCCGCATTTTTTTATTTCTTATTTGTTTTCCATTTACTGTTTTGTAGAATGTAGCAAATTTATATATATTATATTATATATATATATATATTATATTGTGTGTATGTATATATATACATACACACATAAGCACATATTTATAAATTTAATATTTCTGACAAGGTTGAAATTGAAATATGTAAGAAAAACAGCATCATTCTGGAAAGAAAACAGGATAAATCAGGTGTTACTAGTTCTAGCGCTAGCTTGGTTCTTCTACAGTGTTATGATTTAGTAAGTAGTTAATTATACTGTTCCTCATTATTTATAAGATTGTTCTATTGGATAAAATGATTTCTAGAATATATTTCCTGCTTAGAACTACACATATAAATTTAATAAACACTTTAATATAACATTCACTTAGTGGAACTAATGCCTTTATGAGTCATTTTAAAGATACCAACTGCTCTACAAACAGGTATATTTCATCCAAGGTATTTTATGTACAGAAAATACATTTTCATAACAATCTTTATAAACATGAACACAATTCAATGAGACAAGTAGTACATACTTTTCAATTCACTTTCAAATTCACCAGGTTATTGTACCTCACAAAATTACAAGCTGAAATTTTCCTGAAAAATAATTACATTCTTGGACTGGGGTTGTGGCTTAGTGGAAGAGGGCTTGCCTAGMACAYGTAAGACACTGGGTTCTACCCTCAGCACCACATAAAAATAAATAAAAAAAATAAAGATACTGTGTCCATCTATAACGAAAAACTTTTAAAAAATAATTATGTTCTTATGTAATTATTTTTTAAAAATATAAGTTATTTATATTTAAAATTCTAAGCTTTATCTTTTTCTTCTAAATTTTGTGAAGTGAATATGCTTGGGTCATCTTTCAAAGAAGAAACATACCAATATCATTATAATAATATTATGATAAATAGAGTTTTATCTTGTTGATACACAAGGCAAAACTATAGTGTTATCAGGTATCATGAAAATAGTTGTTAAAATGAGATCATTCATGAGGCACAAGAAGAAATGAAGAGCTTCAAAGCTGTATTTTACAAAACTGTTGAAAACATTTTCATTTGAAGAATATGGGGAAACTTGACTTAGAGAGTGCTAAGAAATGCATTACCACACCGATGAAGGACAACTATGATGCATAAAATGGTATATTATGATAAAGTGGTTTTATGAGTGTATGAAATGCCAGGCAATGTAGTATATACTAGGGTTTTATTACTAGTAATGTGATTATTGCACTACCAGAATGAATTGAAAAYACTCAGTTTAAAATGTTGCTCAAGTTTTCTAGAGAGTGGCAGAACACTTTCAGAAACCTCTCCAACTAGACATTACAAAAATAGGGTTAAATAGTTGTCAATGACATAGGAACACGGACTCTTCCTAAAATGCAAATAAGTATGTAACTGRAACGGAAAAAAAAATCAAAAGTTACGCAGTGACTGTGGATGAAAAATAACTGGAAAATATCAGAAATAAAATAGATTGCTGATACCTGAAACTTTGTAAAAATCTCCCTCTTCAAAAAAATGATCTTTATTTTTCCAAACTGTGCTTTTTTGTTATAATTTATTAAAAATTATCTACCTTAGTAAACATTTCTAAAATGCACATACTATTCAATATATAAATATTTGGACTTGTTATTTGAAACAAAACCATTTTGCCCTAAAATGTGTTTGTTATCTCCCTTTTGTAGTATGAAGTCTTCTGAAAAATCCTGATGATCTCTTCACACATTTTGAAATTTTTCCATTTTCTTAAATCTTAAAAATCTGAGCTAATCAGTATCTCACTGCTGAGGAGGTAAAAGGGACAGTATGCAATTCCTTACCCATCATAGAGGTTACAGGACTCTATGCATCTCCTTCCCCTGCTGAAGCGTCGGCATGAGAGACACTGGTCTGGCCCAGGACCCCAACAGCCATCGTTGGAACATAGATGATTGCATACCATTCCTTCAGCAGCTGCAAAGCACACCAAAATCAAGGGTAAATAAAGCAAAAAAGTGTCAAAACTTACAGTATTCCTAAGATTGTTTAAATGGTTTTAAAGACATTGGCTTCTTAAAGGAGATCTGCATCAGATAACTTTGCTTTATCTCCAATCCCCATGCCCCAGCCTATCCCCACTTACTCCATGTTGCAGAGGTCTACTCACTAATGTTTGAACAGCAATGTTGTATTTTTCATAAAATACAAAACTGAGCAAAACACAGGCATCTATTTGAATTCTAGAGGGAAGAGAGGTGATGGTTCCAAGGTAAGGACTAGACCAAGAACTTTCCCAGTCCAACGGTTGGCTCCACTAAGAAAATAAGTATTTATGCTTCAATTGTATCAGATAACATCACACACACACAAAAAAAGAAAGATATTGTCTTAAAAAAATACTTAAACAAGAAGAGAGAAAAAAAATGAAAAACACACACAGAGCGTAAGCGGGGGAGGAAAKAATAGAACTAAAATACAAGATTTTATGACTATATCAACCTTGATATTAGTACATGCAAAAAATAATTTTAAAAGAATATTCAAAATTGCAGGCTTACCCATGAGGAGGTATAGARTTTAAAATACAAACAGGGGTTTTTAATCTTATGTCTTTTTTATCATGGGAGACGTGCCAAAGATTTTTGGGAGCTATGTTTTAAAATTGCCAGTTAAGGCTGTCCATTTCTGTTCTCCTTTATACTGAACGGCATTTATTCAGTATATTATTATCTGTATCGTGTAACATAATTTTGTTGAAGGGCCACTATATGCTGAATAAGAAGTGCCCATAAAGATTTCAAATTCTATTCTGGGTACCTGAAAAGTGATTTTAGGCATCAGAAACACAAGTGCATACGGTTTTTATGAAATGTTATGAATTCTCACGAAGATAAAAACATTGAAATAAAGATCTTTCCATTGATTACSGATTTTATTTATTATAGGCTGTAAGGTTTCATGGCAAAAGTCATTTGTGAAGTAAAATAGAAAAAAATACTATCTTAAACAAAAAGAAATTAAACAAGTAAAAAAAAATGAACTATGCATTCAAAGAAGGTAAGAAGAGGAGAAAATAATAGAACTAAATGGCACCTGAACATGTTAATGTAACATAACCAGGGGACCATATCCTGGAAACTGTGAAAGTGAGCTGTTCTAATGTACTCTTGAGAGCATACTGCTTCCACCTTGGATGCTGACAAGGTTTTAAAATAATGAAATAAATTTCCTAGTTCCTACTTTCTTTGTCTAATATCATGGGGGCTAAAGAAGTGCCCATGTTAAATAGTGTAAAATATTTTCTTAAGGCTGATAGACATATCAATAAGACATTTTACTTTATAACTGCTTACATGAATAATCTCTGCCAGTATAGTTTAAGATAGGAGAAAAAAAAAAATATATATATATATATATA